GGGGGGGTGTCGCGCTGCCCGCTCACCTGGCCAGGTCACCGCGCGCTCGCCCACCTGCGCTGCTCGGCCTTTCGGAGGCCCGTGGTAGGAGAGGGGACGCCGGTCAGCCGTGCGCTGGCTTCGGCGTGGGGGACGCGTGGGCAGCAGGGCCGAGGCACCGCAGGTGCAGGGCCCGCCTGTGTCCCGCGCGCCCCGCAGACGGCGCGGTGGAGCTGGGCCCCCGGCTCCTGCGAGCGGGCAGGGGGGTGGCTGCGGACGAGGCGCCCGTGACCTGCGGGGCCAGGCGCGGCCGGGGCGCTGCCCTGGAGGGCCCTCTGCAGGGGGACCCGCGCCGACCACGCCCCTGCCCGCAGCCCTTTTTCCGACTGCTGAACCTGCGAAAGCTGGGCCTCAGTGACAACGAGATCCAGCGTCTCCCACCCGAAGTGGCCAACTTCATGCAGCTGGTGGAGCTGGACGTGTCTCGCAACGGTGCGGGGGCGAGGGCCCGGGGCCGGCCGGGAGGGCGAGGGGGTGTGTCCGGCGGAGGCCTGGGGGCGGGGCCGGGGCGGGCCAGGGGCCTCTGCTAGTTGACCCCTCCTGCGGCAGACATTCCAGAGATCCCCGAGAGCATCAAGTTCTGCAAAGCCCTGGAGATCGCAGACTTCAGCGGGAACCCTTTGTCCAGGTGGGGAGCAGCTGGGGTGCCGCTTGGGGTGCCTCTGGGGATGGGAAGCCTGGTCTTGGAACCTCAGGGGGCATCCTTCTCCTGCCCAGGCTCCCCGACGGCTTCACCCAGCTCCGCAGCCTGGCCCACCTGGCCCTGAACGACGTGTCCCTGCAGGCGTTGCCAGGGGACGTGGGCAAGTGAGTGGCCCCTGGGCTTGGCGCCCGCAGTCCCCCCACCCCCACCCTCTGACCCGTGTCCTCGTTCTGCGTGGTCCTCACCCCTGCCTCCATGCCTCTCAGCCTCGCCAACTTGGTGACCCTGGAGCTTCGGGAGAACCTGCTCAAGTCTCTGCCTGCGTGAGTGCCCAGCCTCCACCCAGCTGGTCAGCAGCCTCCGGGCTTGGCTGCTGGCCACATCGTGCCATGCTCTGCTTCCCCACAGGTCCCTGTCCTTCCTAGTCAAGCTGGAACAGCTGGATCTGGGAGGCAACG